TTTCATTGACAGTAGTTTTAAAATGAGAAATGTTGGTTTTTATAGCTATAATAATTTTATTTATGTTTATTACATAGTGTATGTACTAACACAAACCTGTCTTACATCCGCTCTTATTTATTTACATTAGTTATTAATTATAAAAACAGTCATCTATCAATCTCTTTTACATGCCCTCCATTGGCAGGGGTGGACTCAGGAAATTTTTCCAGTGTGGGCGGCATTAGAGAAAGAAAAAAGAGCTACTACTTTGAACTTGCAAGTTAAGGTCATAGTGTAATGCTCACAACAACAATGCAATGCACAACCACATCAGAATAGAGACAAGCAGAAACAAATGCAAGCCTACAAACAGAAAGGGAAAAAAAATCATACTGAAGAGGGACTACACAGTAGGTCTCTTGGGTTTGGTGCTCTTCTTTTTCAGCTCAGGCACACAGAAAATGAGAGGTATTTAGAAACTAGGTGAAAAATTGGAAAAACACCCAACACCCAACAGGCCCAACTGGCAACACCCAACAGCCAAACTCCAAAGACCAAACAAACCCCCAACACGGCAACACCCAATAGCCAACACCCATGACCCAACAACCAAATTCAGACGCAGATGGTAGGGACGGTTAATGGTTACTGGTTATTCCTATTTGGCAATTTCACAATTTGCATATACTCTACAGACTACAGCCAAATCCAATAGCAGATGAAAACCAATAGAAATTATAGAAAACTCACCTACTGGGCGACTGGGCCTGGCTGATGAATGATGAAAACTAGGCGCCTGGATGCTGGTAGTGGTGGATCGTGGATGCAGGGACGTCAGGCAAGCGCACCGTGACTGGTGGATACAGCCTAGAGCTTCAAGAATTCATTGTTTGGCTGCTTTGGTAATGTAATGGGTGCTTACCGTTTGGGCAAAATAATAGGCCCAATTTTTATTTATTTATTTATTTTTTTTGTATTGGGTTTATGAAAAAATTGGTGTGACCCAAAGCCCAGTGCAGGCATTTAATTGGGTCCGCCTCTGTCCATTGGCGGGAAATTAAAAGACGTATCCTCAACAGACTCTCTCCACCTTCCATGATTGTACGTTCTCTCTGTATATTGAAAATTTTAATTTGTTAATGTTGTGGGTAACTGGTTTAGAATTTTAACACATATCATAATGTTATAATAACTTAGTTAGGGCTTGTTTGAGCCCAATTTTTGTCAAAAAAAAATATATATATACATTTTTAAATAGTATAATGATGGAAAATATGTGATTAAAAAATAAGAAAAATTTTAGATTTACGTGCAATATTATTTTATTGAAGATGGGTAGTTTAAATGGAATCAAAACACTATTAAAAAAAAAA